TCTCTCACTGTGTCCCTCTGCCTGTCTCTGTCTCTCACTGTGTCCCTCTGCCTGTCTCTGTCTCTCACTGTGTCCCTCTGCCTGTCTCTGTCTCTCACTGTGTCCCTCTGCCTGTCTCTGTCTCCCCTGTGTCCCTCTGCCTGTCTCTGTCTCCCCCTGTGTTTCCTGTCTTGCTCTGCCCCTGACATGCTCTTGCTCGTCTGTGCTCTCCAGCAATTCAAGGTGGAGGTGTACCAGCAGCAGATCGACATGGAGAAGCTCTGCCACCAGGGGGAGCTGCTGGTGAAGAAAGTGAGCGACCAGGGCGACCGGGACATGATCCAGGAGCCGCTGACTGAGCTGCGGCACCTGTGGGACAACCTGGGGGACAAGATCACACACAGACAGGTGCGGTGGCCCAGGGGGGCTCTCTCTCGCTCTCTCTCTCGCTCGCTCTCTCTCTCGCTCTCGCTCTCTCTCTCTCTCTCTCTCTCTCGCTCTCTCTCTCGCTGCGGAGCCAGCGTGGGCTCGGTGTTCATTGCCTGCTGTGTGTCCCTGCAGCACAAGCTGGAGGCCGCCCTGCTGGCGCTGGGGCAGTTCCAGCACGCCCTCTCGGAGCTGCAGGCCTGGCTCAGCCACACCCACCACACACTGGACGCGCAGCGGCCCGTCAGCACCGACCCCAAGGCCATCGAGATCGAGCTGGCCAAGCACAGCGTAGGTCCCGTGCCCACCGGCCGCCCGGCGCCCCAGGACCGGCCCAGGGCTCACAGCTGCCCTCTCGCCCCCCAGGTGCTGCGCAACGACGTGCTGTCCCACCGCGCCACCGTGGAGACCGTGAACGGCGCCGGGGCCGAGCTGCTGGACTCCAGCCCCGGGGACGAGGCCGGGCCGCTGCGCGAGCAGCTGGACGAGCTGAACCGGAGCTGGCAGAACCTGCTGCTGCAGACCCAGGACCGGCAGCAGCAGCTGGAGGCGGCGCTGCAGCAGGTACGGCGCAGGAGGGGGCTGTCGGGGGGAGGGTGTGGACTGTGACCCGTGACCTCCAGGCGGAGAGGGGGTATCGGGGTGCCCTGTGCTGTTGGGGGGAGGGTGTGGACTGTGACCC